GCCCCGCCCCCCCCCACAGCTCCTGGGGCAGACCAGCAGCCGCCCAGCCGGAGAGCGGATGGCCGAGTGTGGAGAAGTTGGTCCCTGCTCTGGGCTGGAGCACGACTGACATCCCTCGTGGACACTCCACCAGGGTGGGGACGGGTGAGTCACCCTACGTGTGCTTCTTGCTGGCCTTGAGAGGCAGGAGAGGACGCCTGGAGCGGTGTCTTGAGTGCTGGAGCGTGCTTCAGCCCCTCTCCTGCTGCGCCTTCAGCTGCTCACCTGTGGGTCCCCCCTCACCTGTGGGACGGAGCGGGGCTGGCACCATCCCTCGCTGTGCTGAGAGACCACCTCTGCATGCCACCTCCGTGGGGATAGCTGAGCTATCCCCAAGAGCTGGTTGGGCTCAGAGCTAGCTTTCCATCACTGAGGTATTTCGGGACCTGCTGCTGGCACAGCCATCCTCTCTGAGATGCAAGAAGCCGGCAGCAGGAGAGGTGTGAGCTGCGACCCGCAGCGCCGCATCAGCTGCTGGTGCTCTCTATGCAGCTGTGTTTTACTGCACTTCTGTGGCCTTGGGGATTGGTGACTCCTCGTTACAGAAATGAAAACAAGTGTAGGTCCCCAGCGGCGTTAGACATGGCATCTAACGGCACAGACAGACAAGCCAGAAGTGTGACCTTACAGACACGGTAATCGCTGCTTCACAAACACTTTTGCTTCTCAGGGTTTGGATTTACTTATCAAGGGTGTTGTTAGTCACGAGGGTGGTGTTTTGTTTTGACAGTCCTTCCTGGCATCGGCTCCGCAGCTGCAGCGCTGCTTAAATTAGGTTTCGCTCTCGGAGGACTCTCTGCTCCTCTGGATTTGATGCCTAGATCTCTTTTTATTCTGAGGCATGAATTTGCTAATGCAGAGTTACAGTATCCCTGATATTGCAGAGGATGGTACCAGAAGATATACTTCTCTTCAGGAGTCTTGTGATTACAGGGTCTCTGTAGGGCAGTAGGTGTAATTACTGGGGTAAAAAGGTTTGCTGGTCTAAGCCTGCCCTACTCCAGACAGTTAAATATACGTGGGGATATTTGAGTTGGTGCCTCTGCAAGCATTACAGCATTTTTCCATAGTAATTGTGCTTTTGTGCAAGGATTAGAGAAACGGGACTCTTCGTGTGGGGTCAGAAATCCTTTTTGTAGGAAGGCAGTCGGCAGTAACACTTGTCCCTGCTTTGAGGTGCTTCTCAGGAGTTCTCCGACACGAGCCTGGGTGCTGGTGGCAATCTGCTCCTCCAGCAAAGGCCGAGATGGCTATCGCCAGGAGCTGTTGAATGTGAGTGCCTTTGCCCTTCTCTAACAGATGCTACCCACAATGGGTAATGTGTGGAGCTGTGCAAGCTTCACGTGCTCCAGTAAACAACATACGAGTGTCTCCCTGTGAGTGCCCACCAGACAATGACCTTTCTTCTTCCAGAGGGAATACAGCAGTAGCTGCCATAAGTAAGGGGCTGAGAAGAAAGCACAGGGGCTAACCGTGCTGAGCCAAAGTACTGGTTTTGGGAGCCCCCAGGCATCTGCTGTGTAGGACATCCTGTTAGACAGACTGAATAGTCCATGCAAGTGGAATGGGGAAGCAAAACTTCATGGCAGGAGAACTGACTAAAGAAAGAGAAAGGACTTTATTTAGGAAATGCAGCTTCAAACTTTGCAGTCATTACTGAATTCATGAGGAAAGTAACTAATATCCACCAGTCTGGCACAGTCCATCTGCTCTGTTTCGTGGTGGCATTGGTGTGTGTTGGCTTAGTCATGAACTTCTGAATAGGGGCAAGAGAACAGGATTTCAGGTATTTTAGGAGGTAATTGTTGAAAGATACCACTAATTCCACAGGAGGTTGGGATTTCCTAACTCTGCTTTCCACTTCCTTGAGCTTTCAAAAGCTAGACAGAGGATTTGGGTATCATATACATACCCTGTAGTATGTATACATTAGTCCTCAGCTACTTGGACGTGGAATTGAGGCTGCTGCCAGGCTGGAATTTCCTTATTTTAGCAATTTAACTGCCTCTCAGCAATCACTGATGGCTCAGTTATCATCTCATGTGGGTATTTGTCAACCTGGCTTCTACTCATGGTTGTTTCTTGATTGCCAGTCTTCTGTGGTTTCATAAGCCAACAGCCTGGTCCTCAGCTCAGCTCCTCCCTGTGTTCTCTCTGGGTTTCATTCTCAAATGTCTCCTTTTGCGCTGTTTCTAGACGTTTCCCCTTTCAGGTTTGCCAGTGCAAACAATTCTTTTTGTTAGTGGTTCCTTAAGAGTCTTTTTTTCTCAACAAATCAGTCCACACTTCATGTTTGCATGTCTGTGGTACTGTTTGAGATGTACAATAGGTCAGTAAGAACCAGCCCATCTGTAAGGGACCTCCAAGAGGTGAAATTTTCTCATTGTGTATTGTAAAACAGCTGTGTTTGAGGCACTGTTCCCTGGGGCTGTATTTGGTCTGGGCACTACACAGTAAAACGTGTAAGCTTTGACTGCAAGGTTTGTGATCTCTCTTTCCACCACTGTTAATAAAGAGACGATGACTTTCCTCCCATGTATCACCCTTCTTGTCTTCTGTTTTCCTTCTGATATTTGTGTAAGCCATGAGATGGCCTACACAGCACCAGGCTTGCTGGCGTCAGATAGGATTCACCTTTCTTAAAGGGGTAAGAGGGTCTTTGCTCACAAGCTAGTGGGGCCCAGTGGCAGAGCTTTAAACTAGGCTTGGAGGGGATGGGGGATAATATCAGGCTTGCCCGTCTCAAGCTGTGGGACGACATGCCAAGGTTAGAGGGATGGGGTGCTAGCAAGGGCCCTCAGCCTTTTGCTTTGAGACACGCTGGCTACACTGCAGCACACTTGAAGTCTTACAGACATGACCCAGGGGCTCCTGAGGTATTAGGAGCCAAGAGGGAAACACCAGTGAAATATCTCAGAGGAATTAAGGTGTGTTCCTCTAAGAAGGTGACATGACCGACAGCCCAGCTGAAGTGCCTCTACATCAATGCACACAGCATGGGCAACAAACAGGAGGAGTTGGAAGCTACCGTGCTGCTAGACAGCTACAACCTAGTTACCATTACTGAAACTTGGTGGGATGAATCCTGTGACTGGAGTGCAGTTATTGATAGCTACAGGCTGTTCAGAGTGGACAGGCGAGGAAGGAGGGGCAGAGGGGTTGCCCTCTACATCAAGAAATGGATAGAGTGTGAAGAGCTGTCTCTGAAGAATAGCCACATGGGACGAGATGCCATCCAGAGGGACCTGGATGGGCTCAAAAAGTGGGCCTGTGTGAACACCATGAGGTTCAACAAGGCCAAGTGCAGGGTCCTGCACCTGGGTCGGGGCAACCTGCAATATCAGTCCAGGCTGGGGGATGAAGGGATTGAGAGCAGCCCTGCCAAGAAGGACTTGCGGGTACTGGTGGAGGAAAAGCTGGACATGACTTGGCAATGTGTGCGAACAGCCCAGCAGACCAACTGTGTCCTGGACTGCGTCAAAAGAAGCGTGGCCAGCAGGTCGAGGGAGGTGATTCTGCCCCTCTACTCCGCTCTCGTGAGCCCCCGCCTGGAGTACTGCATCCAGCTCTGGAGCCCCCAGCATAAGAAGGACATGGACCTGCTGGAGCGAGTCCAGAGGAGGGCCATGAAGATGATCAGAGGACTGGAGCACCTCTCCTATGAGGACAGGCTGAGAGAGACGGGGTTGTTCAGCCTGGAGAAGAGAATGCTCTGGGGAGACCTTATTGCAGCCTTTCAGTACTTAAAGGGGGCTTATAAGAAAGATGGGGACAAACTTTTTAGCAGGGCCTGTTGTGATAGGACAAGGAAAATTGCTTTAAACTAAAAAAGGGTAGATTTAGACTAGATATAAGGAAGAAATTTTTTACAATGAGGGTGATGAAACACTGGAACAGGTTGCTGAGAGAGGTGGTGGATGCCCCATCCCTGGAAACATTCCAGGTCAGGTTGGAGGGGACTCTGAGCAGTCTGATCTAGTTGAAGATGTCCCTGCTTATTGCAGGGGAGTTGGACTAGATGGCCTTTAAAGGTCCCTTCCAAGCCAAACTATCCTATGATTTTCAGAAACACATTATAAAAGCTTCAAAGCAGAATATGGCCAAACTCCCAACAAATCTTTTCTTATCCCATACATGTCTTTGTCATTAAAGTATTTGCCTGGTTGTTTCTGAATCATCTGAACGGCATATTAGCAAATGGTGAATACGTTTTCGTATGTCTCAAGTTTACTCAACACTGAAGAGATTGAGAGTGGAACAATACCTCATCGGTGGCGCTTTTCCCACAATGCTGACATGATAAAATACTTCAAGTGTCTGTGCCACCAAGTACTGCCAGAGCTTGGTTTTGAGGGGTAACTAAATCCAGTGTAAGCAACAGACTGTGAAAGCAGAGCAAATGCAAAGTGGCCTGCTGTTCTGGTGGGTCGAACAGAAATTTCCATGGGAATACTGAATTGCAGAAAAGATCTTGGCATTTTTGCATGTTCTTATCTGGCAAACACCAATAACTGGTTCTGCTTCAACTCTTGCATCTACAGGAAAGAAAGAAAAAGTTTGAGAAGGATGGTGAGAAGTTTTATTCTATGCTGGATCGCCATTTGCATTTGTCTTCCAAAAAGAAGGAATCCCAATTACAGGAGGTGTGTATGGAGTTTTCTTTGACTGGGTCCAGAATCAACACCACCAGCTGCTCTAGATCTTAAAAAAGGGAAGAAAATCATCCTCTTCAGTAACCAGTTGAAACTGATAAGCAATTAAATCTACCTAAAGCCTATTCACATGGATGAGACTGGGGATATCGAGGTGGTAGTTTGGCATAAAGTGCCAAGCAGCAATAGTGCCTTTATGCATTGTCATCTCTTGTTCTTACCTGTGTAGTACAGGGCAGTGACCAGTTATACCGGCACAGCTGGGGATTGGCCACCCTTTGAACTGGCTTGGGGAACTGACCTGGCTGAAAAATAACTGGTTATTATTATTTTTGCCAGCCTAGTTTCCTGCCTAGCTCCTGGTGTTTGCAGGGGTAGTTGTGGCAGCAGGCCCATGGTGGCAGTGAGTAGCAGGCGGAGGAGGGATGGTGCTCCTTCGAGCTGATGCTGCCACCAAACATGTTGGAACAAGAAAGGAAAGCCCCAGCTGTTCCAGCCCACATAGGAGTAGTCGGATCGAATCAGGTCTGTCAAACCAGTAATCAGATCAACCTACAAGCATCTTTGCAAGGCAAAATTTGTGGAAGCTGCAGTAACATGGCATACCACGCTGGTCTACCTGGTTCTGCAGCTCTGGAATTGCTGGTTTCAGGTCGCAGCTGGAGTCAGGCGAGAGGATCGTGACAGCGGCCTTGTCCTCGCCAGTGCAGGGCAGTGGGTAGAGAAGCAGCTTAGGCTAAAATAACAAATATGCTTTGGGAAAGCCTTATACTTGCAGAGGGGAGTGGGGTTCTAGATCCATAAATGAAAGGGAGCTAGAAAAGGGCAGATCTTAGAAGAGCAGTCAATGTTCCAGTCTTCTGGTTCTGTGCAGTGTTCAGAACTTGGACGGGACACTTTTGGCAGGCTTTTCCTTAAGTGAGGACAAAGCTATTGTGGGCTGACAGGCAAATGCTAGTCAAATATTGTCAAGCTAGATGTGAAGTGTTTATTTTTTTCACCTCTCCCTCTTTCTTTCAGGCTGACCTTCAGGTTGACAAAGAGAGACACAATTTCTTTGAGTCCTCCCTTGAGTATGTGTACCAGATCCAGGAAGTACAAGAAAGCAAGAAATTCAGTATTGTTGAACCGGTAGGAGCTTCCTTTTCTTTCAGGCCTTGTTGTTTGATGTTCAGATATGCTGACTTGCTAACAGTCACAGGAAAGAATGACTTACCAGGTTGGATTCGGTCCTGGGGAGTCTTGTGATGGAGCAGGAGTTAACCTTGCACACTTGGATTGCTGCGGCTTAACAGCCTCAGTGGTGTTTGCTGGAGTGCTGTGAAGCCACAGACTTTCTCGTCTGTAAGTCAGTCTGGTGGAACAGGCTAGATGCTCTAGGTAGCTACAGATCTTGTTATGAATTATCTTGGGCATGTTGTGTTTGGTAAATGTTAGCTGTGTTCAGAGGGAGAGAGTTGTTATCTGGTCCGCTTACCTGTCACGGCACTGGCTGCAGTATTACAGCTCGTGGCTGTGTACAGGGAGCCTGCCCTGGGCCGGTGGCTCTGCCCTGGCACCAGATGCCGTTGAGCGTGGGATCGTGTAGGTCTCATGGACAAGGAATCTGCAGACCTACTCTTGGTATCCCAGCAGGGTCTTTCATTTCGGGTGTGTTTTATTAAGACAGATGTGTGGGTGGTAGACCTGGGCTTTAGGGACATTGTGGTGGATAAGTCATACTAAGATTTGCATCACTCCAAAGTTGTAAGAAAAAAAATAAATTTATATATGTAATTTCTGAAACCCCACTTCCTGTCTGTCTTTCCTCTGATTACGAATATAGAAGAGAAGTTTAATCTGTGTCCTTTTGCTCCTTTGCAGGTACTGGCTTTTCTCCACAGCCTCTTTACATACAACAACCTGACAGTTGAGCTCACGCAGGATTTCCTCCCTTATAAACAGCAGCTTCAGCTCAGCCTGCAGAATGTGAGTTCCTGCCCAGCTGAAGTATTTTTTTGCATGTGACTTCTATTCTCATTTGTATTTAAACGCCTCTGGTGGCAAGGCTTTTCCATACAAAACAGGCTGTCCATGTTTACATTGTGGGAGGTGCAGATAGTTATTTCCTTCACAGTTCATGTGTATTTTCTCGTCTCCTACACAAGAGTCTGCAGGTGCTATTATAGTGTTTTGTTCTTTCTAGAAGGGGATATTGCAATTGTATCATTTAACTTTGTGCATAAACAAGCCTGAGAATTTCTTCCAATTTCATGAGATCAAAATTGTACACGTCTTCTAAAAAAGCCTCCAATCTTGATCTTAACGGTATTGGCTTACTACATGCTTTGGTAAGCTCCTCTGCTGGCTAAGTATGCTCATGGGCTAAAATATCCGTGTCCTGTTTCTTTTGTCCTGAGTCTTTCATGGCTGGCCCTCATTCCCATGGAACAACAGCCATAAATCTGTGCCAAGTTGAGATTGCCGCTGGCTCATTAATTGGTCTAAGTGGCGTTCCATAAAAATGCCTTGATTTTGTACCCTGTGTTGATGTGACTCTTGAAAAATTATTTCATGCCAAGCAGTGTAGCATGATCTTTTGAGGAATCAACGCCCTAGTTTTGTAGGAGAATACACCTGTTACCTAAACAGTGGTGTGAAGAGGAGTTCAGGTGCTTCCTTCTGCTCCACCTAGCCTTAAAATGTGCCAAGTTTCTATTATTGAAAGAACAAGTGTCCTCCCTGTTATGACTCCTCAACAGCATTGCCATGTACGCTACGTTAAACCTTGTCTCTTCAATCATCTTTAGGAGTCCAGTCATTCTTTTAGCTGGAGTTTTCATGTGAGCTTGTGGAGCGGCTTCCACATTTTGTACCTGGGGGACCAATTCATTTCTGCCAGAGCACCTAAAATTTGACCAGGAATACCTGAAGCTTGCTCTTTGCTCGTGTTCAAATGTGCTTCTTTTTGTTTTCTCTAAACAGACAAGGAATCATTTTTCCAGCACGCGAGAGGAGCTGGAAGACTTGAAGAAGAGGATGAAGGAAGCCCCCCTAACCTGCAAGCTACCTGGGCAGCCGACCATTGAGGGCTATCTGTACACTCAGGAGAAATGTAATGGCTTTGATATGCACCTGAATACCTTAAAGAACATGTAAGCCTGGGCTGCCCGGCTCATAGCCCCGCTGCGTGGGCTACGCTCGGCTCCCATGGCTAAGCCAGCTTTAGCCACAGCATCACTGTGGGCTGTGCTGTGCAGGGCAGCGCCGCCTGCCAGTGCATGGGGTGCCCGGGGAATCACCGGCAGCTTTAGCTGCCAGCTTTCTCAGTGGGGGCACAGAGCTTTCCCCGGGTTATGTGAGCCATGTAAGCAAGGAGCTAATTGCCCTGCGCTCAAATTAGATGAGATTTATTACTCTGTTGTAGTGCTGGAGAGACCAGAGCTCTGGCAGATCGCACCTTGGCTGCATTTTATCAGAATGAATCTGGTGTCCTGCCCAGCTTCCCTCTCACAGTGGCTCTGAGGGCATCTGAGCACAGCTGAAGTGTTAACCAGCAAGGAGAGTTGAGCTGCTGAGAGTGGAACTTGTTGTGATTCTGCATGGGATCAAATCAAACCAAATTCAGTCTTTTACAAATACTTACTGTAGCTTTCCATGGCCACGCAAGCATGAACACTCAGGGGACAAAAGCCTCTACGCAGAGCTGTGGCCTCTGAGTCTACAGACAACTTTGTGAGCAGTTAATTTTTGGATTGTATATACAAATGTATTTATACATATATTTGTATGTATGTTTATCCTACTTTTAAAAGAAAACACATAGACAGTAATTTTAGACTACAAACAAATTTTGCATGTTCCTGCATGCCAATGAGTGTTTGCTGCCTCTATTTATGTTTCCCCTATAAATTGAGTGTGAAGAGAGTTGTTCCTCCTGACACTGCAACTTCAGAAAAAATTACAGAAAAATTATCAGTTGAAGTATTTTATGTAAAGGGGTTCAGGTAAGACAACAAAGAAAAGTGACAATAAATCCAGTGTGATATAAGTAGGTATTTTAGAGTGTTTTAAAGATGCTGTTGTCTTTACTGCCAAGTTTTCATCAACAGGAAAAAATAGTGGTGTCTGTGTGAAACAAGCATTCAAGACACGTAGGATCCTGCCAGTGTAGGTCTTGGCTGGACTTGGCCAAACCAGCTTGGCTCGCAACCAGAGTCCCACAAACGCCCTTTCACCAGCAGCGTTTTGGGAGGGCACTGGAGGCGGCTGCCACCCCACGCTCCTCTTCCCCTCTCCTCCTCCTCCTGGCTCTTGCCAGTGGAGATGCTGGCAAGGGAGGTGTCCCTGCGGGGCCAGCGGTGTCTGTCCCCAGAGAAGCGTGGACATGCGGGAAATGCTGGCCATACCCTGCCAGCTGTGTCCAACTCTAACTCCGGCACCATCTCTAACTCCAGTTTCCTGTGTGTTTCTGCAGGGGCACTGGGCATCTCCTGGGTGAAATATTACTGCCAGTATGAAAAAGAGGCAAAAACCTTGCGGATGACGCCCATGGATCAGAAGCCTGGGGCTAAGCAAGTGAGTTGGTTTCTTGGAGGGATGACTGCAAACATTGACGCAGGCATCAGGTCTCACCTTCAATCCGCCCACATCATCTCTTTCCTTAAGCAAACAGATGTACAGATGCCATGTCCAGGGCAGCAGAGGCCAGCCCCGCTGCCGGGAGCAGTCGCCTGGCAGGGCCGGTCCTCAAGACATGCTGACAGTGGGCTGGTCCCAATGCTGCGGCTGTGGAAGGGCTCCCGGCCACAGAGCAGATGGGTGGGCTTCGTGTCCCCTCCCTGCCTGGTTGCACAGGAGGGTGGTTTGGTACAACCTGAAGAAAGCGCCTCTGTGAAGAAAAGTTTCACCTCCCTCTCTCCCGAACGACCCAAAGTCCTGCAGGGTTTGGCAGCAGAAACGCGGGTTTGTGTAATGTGAGCGTTACTCGGGCAGTGGTGACTTGCAAGTTTGGTCTAGTGTGAAATTTCTGCCTTGCTAGACAAGCTAATTTGGTATTTATCCATGCAAATGGGTGGTAAACCTGCAGTCTGGTTTGCACGTAGGCCTCTGGCACTGATTGCGAGTACCTGAATTGCTTGAGTTATTAGATGAGTGCTTCCAAAAGCAGTATTTCTCTGCCTTTGCATGTTTGCACAGTCTCTAGTTTGTGATTTTGATTTCTGTTTTCAGAATTGGTTATGTGTGAGTGGTACTGGTGTTAGGAGAGGAGGAGAGGGCAGCAGTTGCAGATCGAAACTGCAATAAGGCAACGATTTGGGGAACTGATTCTTTCACAAAATGCTTTGGTTTTTACCCACGAGCGATGTGTCTGGGAGTTCCCTGCAGTTCCTTGGGGTGACAGAGGAGGGGTAGGATGCGGGTGTGGATGACGGACTGTGGCTCAAAGTACAGCAACTGTGTCCAGCTGAGTCCACCCGCCCTCCTCTGCCATGGAGCGACGTCCCCCGGGGACTTCCCAGTCAGGCGTGCTGTTCTCCAGTTTGTGATCTCATGGTCTGTTCTTTGGCAGCCCTCTGCACACTGCAGCAGTAAAACAAAATGTATTTTTTGGAAGCCCTTGGCAGAGACCTTGGCAAAGAAATGTCCAAAACATTGACTGGAGAGATCTATTGTCCTCTATGCCGTAAACATGTCTAGTAAGGCCAATTAATGCATGGTAGGGGCTTGTAAAAGTGTAAATTAGTCCCCTTCCCAAACTCTCGCAGTCTCGTAGTCGGCATCTTCGGGCTGCAGCTGCCCACACAGCTTCAAATGCCATGATTACAAGGAGTGGTCTTGAAAACCCCAACCGACCAGCATACACACAAAATGCAGCCAGGAGATTATCCTCACGGCGTGTAAGCTGGATGTAATCTTGGAGGAGGCAGTCCTTGCCACCAGGCTCTCCTGGATCTGCTTGATTTGCTTCTGCCAGAGGTCTTGCAGATGCGGTGGTGATGACGGTCAGGGTGATGAACACGTTCCAGGTTTGCACGCTCAACCCTAGGGTCCAGTTGGCTGTAAGGTCTCCTGAGTGTCTCTTCGGAGTTCCTACAACTATGTGGAGATCTGATGATCAGATTACAAAATGACCCTGCTGCAGAGTGTGGGGGCATGAATGCAAAGGGCCAGAGCACAGCCCTGCAGTGCCGCTTCTCTTCAGAGTGCACCTACTCTAGATTTGATCAGTTAACGTTCCTTTTCTGCAAAGTATTTTCTGTTAAGCTGTTTGGACCATGAATGCTGTGGATCATTGGTAGCACTGATTAGCCCCGATAAATATTAGGACCCAACTGTGTCAGATGACAGCTAAGCATGGTCCTGGCCTGAAAGACCAAGCAACTGCCTCATGAGGTTTGTTTATAGCGGTGTTCCTGCTCTGTGGAGCCATATTGCTTGTTGCTGAGATATTTAGCACTTGTTTGCAGGGTAGTGCCATGAAGTCTAGAACATTCTGTGGCTGAGGAGGGGAAGCCTGGCTCACAAAGCCTTTGATCTCCGTCTTTGTTGATGGTAGGAATGACCCGCTGTGCTCCTGGTACCAAAGCCATCAGATTGGTGGGGAACCCGCCTGGTCTTCTACGGGCAGTGCCGTGCTGGGCTGCAGCCTAAGGGTGCTGAGGAAGCCAAAATCTTCTCCCATGCTTCCTTCCTCTAACCTTGGCTTTCATTTTCTCTCCTAGGGCACCTTAGACCTGACACTGAAGTCCTGTGTAAGGAGAAAGACAGACTCTATAGACAAAAGGTTTTGTTTTGACATTGAAACTAATGAAAGGTGAGATGCTTAGTATTCAAATGGCCTCCAAACAGATAAACCCTGTAAACCTGGATGAAATAGCTCTTTGCTGTTTATTAGAAATAACTTTTGCTTCATTTTCCTGCCTGTCCCTGGATGAACTCTGCTCAGGTCTGGGACCATCACACTGCAAGCACTCTCGGAAGCCAATCGACGGCTGTGGATGGAAGCCAGGGAAGGGAAGGAGCCGGTAGGTGTTGAGGGAGCTGCTGCACAGCCGTGAATGTGCTGCTGAGCAGTGTCCTCTGCCGGCAGGTCTTGGGGAAGAGCAGCGACACAAGCAGGCTCGGTGTTACAGCTGTCACTTCGCTGCTGTCGCTTATTCAGTGCATCAGTTCAGCCCAAATAGGATTTCGTGCTGTTCTGCTTGCAGCACAGCTTGCAATGGGGGTTTTGTTGTTCCCCCTTTAAAGCTCTGGTATGTTCCCTAGTTGTGCCATACTGCCCAAGGACTGTGGCCATACTGGGTCTGGAACGCTCGATATTTCTGTTGTTCACAACTCACTCTCCAAACTGCCAGAGGTGATTTTTTTTTTTGTCTGTCCCTGCTCTGAGCAGCATTTGGGAAGTCTGGCCGGTGGGAGTGGCCACCCTGCACCAGCGTTCCCCTGCCTTTCTGTGCCTGCTGCTGTTTCCTTCCTTCGGTCTGAGCAAAGCACAGTCTCCTGCACTTTACCAAATGTCTTGTAAATGGACAGCACGATGTGCAGTGCAGGAAAACCCATTTCTGGCAGCTCCCCTTGCCTTTGGAGAGCTGCCTTTCCCTCAGTGGGCTCGGTGAAGAGGGTTGTCCACTTGCTGGACAGGTTAGCTCAGGGCTGTGTGGCCACTGATGCAGAGATGGGACATGGGAGCAGGGAGATGGGACATGGGCACCCTCTGCAGCACAATTCTCCTTCTCGTTTAAACAGAAAAGGCCATGGGATAGTGTGGAGGGTCAGCGTGCTTCTGCTGGGCAGCCAGTCCCTTAGCGGATAGGGCTCACTCGGTTTGCATCACGTGTTATTAGGTATAAAGGATGGCACCTGCTGTTTATTATTAATAAAAAAATACAGCATGTATTTTTGTATGGGATGAAGGAATATGTTGGCACTTGAATTTTTAAAAGCATTCAAATAAAGAAAAAAAAAAAACCAAACCAACACACAACCCCTATGTGCCAGAATGTCCAGATGCCATTTTTACAGGGCACCTAAAGGACAAAGTTTCCTTTTGGTTTTTGGGAGACCTGTTTCCTAGAGATGCTCCAGTGAAATGTAGAAAGTCAGCAAAATCTCATTTATTGTGTAGATAATGGTATCTTGCTTACTTATAAAATGACATTTCTTTGGGAGATTGTCTTACTGTTTGGGGTTGGCTTTGGGTGATTTATGGGGTGCTGCATTTTCTGCTGAAAAAAATATCAAATCACATTGCATCATGTTTTTGTTTCTTCCTCTTCCATTCCCTCCCCTTTTTCAGATCTACCACAGTCCCATCACGAAACAGGAAGAAAGTGAGTCATTTCTTTTGCTGTTCTTCTGAGCTGTCAAAGCTGTCCGGAGGTCTGGGCAGTGTATTTCCTTGCAGATAGATACACTCGTCCTCGATTTCTGCTGAATAGGCTGTGTATTCCCTCCGTGGCAGCAGTGTAACTTCTTTCCTTTTCATCACACTGTCTGATATTGAGGCCAGATAAGAAATTTGCAAACGGTAAAAGTTATCGATTGCAATATGCAGTTTTTATTTAGCCAGAACTACCGGGATGCGGAGTTCAATTTGTACCTCTAAACCCCAAAATAACAGAGGGGAAAAAAGATCAGTGAGAGATTCTGAAGGCATTTCCCTTAGCAAAGATTACAATAGGAAAATAAGAGGTGGTGTTTAGTTCCCTGGAGCTCCCATCCCACCACCTTGTCCCGTGTCTCCCCTTTCGCAAGCAGGGTGTACACTGCTCGCCGCCCCTGCGGCCCCGGGGGCACACTGCTGCCCCTTTCCCTTTCCCCTTTTACAGAGCGTTACTGCAGCGGTTGAGCGTGCTGCCGGGGTAGACTCTGGGGCTTCGTTAGCTGGGTGAAAACTTGCATTCTATTTGTTAGAGCTTCCTTTTATCAGCACTTTAATTAGCTGACTTCAATGAACGTAGAGGTAGCATTATCAGAGGCATAAGCATGAAACCTGTGGTTTGTCTGTGTTTGCATTGCACGCCTGGAAAGAATGTGACTCAGTGCCTCACAAAAGTAAATACACTCTATTTTTAATAGATTACAGCTAGAAAGACTTCAAATCATATCATACCACTCAGTATCAAGTACCGAGTGGGTCTGCGCTTAAGGGTGTCTTAACTCCTATGTTAGAGCTAAGATGCGTCTGAGCTTTTCATCTCTGTTGCTTCGAGAAGAGAGAATTGTTATAAACAACTTGCTGAAAATACAGTGATTTCATAGGATTCGTCAACATGGCCTGTGCTGTGACTGGAGTTGGTCCAGATGTGTCCTGTGGCTGTTTTTTCCAGTAAAATGTTGGTTTACGTTAAAAAGATTTAAAAAAAAATAAAATACCTCCACTCTCCCCAAATAACCCAAACCCCCAAAATTCCAAACCAACAACAGCATGATCATTTAGGAGAAATTCAATATAAACGTTTGCACTGAACAGAAAGATATTTCACATTATAACTTGGACAATCCTTCCAGATATCCCGGAAAAACTAGCAAAAGTAATAGTGTGATTACAGTAGTTGAAATATGTGTATAGAAAAAAATCCTGACTTTCTACCTGCTTCGTGATGCCTGCAAAACAGGCACAGAGATAGTCTGTGATTAATTGGCCGGAACAAAAAACCTGTGTTCTTCTTTACTCAGCATATCAAGCTGTATTGTTTTTGCTTTTTAATCTAGTCAAGCAGATAAGCAGAAATTACATGATCCTATGATGTGGAAGAGCTTTAACTGCAGTTTTTGCAGTGCTCTGGAAATGATTAATCAACTCCTTATCAGACACAAATTCACATGTGGTGGGACTCTGATTTACGCCTTTGTTATTTAAGACAGAGAGGGGGTAGGGAGCAATGCTGTAACCCAAAATAAATTAGAGGAAAAATAGTGAACATATGGAACTAATAATTCCTTGTCAGGATTTAAGGAATGCCTGTGTTTTCATGGAGGGATGTACACGATGCAGACGCATGTGTGAATCCGGCTGTGCGCTGGGGCACTGCAGCTTTGTGTGCTTGGCAGGGTTTGGGTTATGGGGCTTTCCCAGTAGTTTTCCACGGGGAGTCGCATGCTGGTGCTCAGGTAGCTAACCCTGCTTCTCTCGTTTGAAACAGTGGAGCTGAACGAGGTCGGCTTCAAGTTTGTACGGAAGTGCATCAACGCAGTGGAAACAAAAGGTAAGGTGCTCGCATTGGCATCAGGAGATGCCGCTGTCCTGGCGGTGCTTCTGTTGGCCTTGAATTATATTGTATTTTCTGCAGTTGTTAGTCAATGAAGCGAGACTTTGACTTTTAACTGAAAAACACGTGTAGAAATCCTGCACGGTTTGCAATGTTGTTATAGCAGATTCAGTTAGGAATGAATTTCCACCTTTATGCTGTTTTCATCCATCGGTTTCTCATCTTTGGCTCTGAGAAAACTCATTGTTGGGTAGAAGGGGAACAGCTCTGGAAGTCTGTCTGTACTGGAGGGGCAGGCAGGGGTTAACTGGGGTACAGGGTTATTCAGACCTAGTTTGTTAAAAGCACCAGACAGAAGCAGGCTGGTGGGTGATAGTCTGCACTTTCATGAAACACACAGCCTGTACCCGTGTACATCGCCAGCGTGGGCTATCAGGCGAAGATAAATCACTCCAGAACAGCTGGATCCCCCAGCTGCCACAGGGAAAGGTGGCTGGTGTCTATTGCAGAGCCTTTGGGGGATGTGACCAGCAGAAGCGTTTCTGCGGAGCCAGCACCCGCCAGCTGGGAGAAGGGTTCCACTAGATGGGGCTTTTGGACTTCCCACCAGCTGGAGAAGACCCCTGACTAACACGCTTTGGCTTTCTCCTGCTTAGGGATTACTACAGAGGGCGTCTACCGGACTGTTGGCAGTAATATTCAGGTGCAGAAGTTGCTGAATGCCTTTTTTGGTAAGAATTAATTATTCCGTGCAACTAGATTGTCCTGTTTTTGTATGGTTCAAGAGCGACAGAGAGGATTAGGTTTCAGTGAGAGATGTCAAGTGTGGGGTTTGGCCCCTGTGGCCCCTCCAAGGCACACCTTCCCCTTCTCTTCTGGGCTTTTTTCGGCAACCCGCTCTAGTGCCTCTCCCTTTAAACTGCGTTTATCCGTTGGTGGTGCAACCTGCATTTTAAGTGAGCAGCAGTGAGAGAAAGCGAGGCAGCGACCCTGGAGCAGTGGGGACAAGCCTTCTCCCATCATGTGCTAAAAATATTCAGGCATTTTGGAGTCACGTGCTGGAGACATGTTCTTGCAGCAGGCCCAGGGTGTGGGACATCGGCCAAGGAGAGATGAGCCTTCGCCCTTTCCTCCACTGCCAGCAGCCCCTCCTGCACTGCCGCCGGGGAATTCCCCCCGCCGATGCTGTTCATGCCTTGTCCCTCGGCTCCAGCACGGCCATCTCCTAAACCAACCCCCACAGACAAGCTCAGAGGGACCCTTTTCCTCAGTGGGGTATCATGGAGAGCTATACTGGGAAGGTGGCCTCCATAGCGGGGCTGTTACCCTAGTTTAATGTTTCCATCTGGAAGGGCTGGGCTACCTCACTGTATGCAATGTGTACGTTAATAAGTCGATACATGCATTTCTGCTGTAAGCCTTTCTGTGCACTGAATCTTGTATTTCATACAAGCATGTAAATTGGTGGGTAGTCTTTATATAAGAAACAGTTAAACTTCGTGCAGGAGGTTGTGGGGCTCAGCGGCATTGCTCCATACCCAGACAGGCATTGCCAAACTGGGACCTGGCTGAGCCCATCGTGCCTCTGTCCCATGGCACACATGGGCCAGGGAAGGCTGTGAGCCCCTTTAGGTGAGCCCCGAGGGTCCATCTCCCACACATCCACAGGCCAAGCTGTCCTCGCCATCCCTGCCTGAGCAGCTGGGGCACAGGGCAGAAAGCGTGTTTCCATTGATACCTGTGTGCCTTGGGCTCGCTCCAGCTCCCTGCACAGACATCTGATATTAATGTAGTTTTCAAAGGCTTTTACTATTGTTTTTTACAATTGTTTACTATTGCTTTTACTATTGTTGTTGTTTATTAAAATGGCTGGTTTGTGTTGACGTATAGCTGTACCCAATTCCCATGAAACCACAACTGCAGACAGCTATACAGTTACACTTGCCTGGTGACTAATCACTTAGCCTAAGTTTTTATTGCTTCTCAATCCTCACCCCCCTTGTGAGTAGCTCTGTGGTTTTCTCATCTGAACCCCACCAGTGAGTGGCTTTTCATTTTATTTATATGCATTGGTCTGGTTGACCACTTGCCACCCCACTGTGTACAAACTCACGATGGAAAGTCCAACACCACAGAAATAACTGCTGCAGAAGGATTTCATCCTGAACTTCACTAAGGAGATAGATATTTTTTACTTTGGTCTCTAGTCCTATTTCTCTTTTTTAAATAAAGCATGCAGTTTATTTCTTTAGTGCAGATGGCCCCCATGCTCCAACCACATCCTTTACTTCATCGTACCACAGAAATGATGTGGTTGGTTGGTGATGGTAGGCAGGAGCAATGTGTACTTCCATGCTGCTGTGCCTCCTCCTCTGAGCTCCCTCCTCTCCGTGCAGTGAGAAGGAAAGTTTCCAGAACAGCCTTCAGGGGAGTAGCTGCGAAGGAGGGATTGGAGCTGGACACTGAGATTACTTTGGATATCAGAAAGCTTGTCTTGGATCTGTTGAAACATGTCAGTTTTGCCAGTCTTGGCTGTGCTGGGAAAAAATAAACTGTAGAGAATATGCACTTGCTAACTTTTCACCACTGCTTAAATGTTTCCTTCTGCTTCTGCCTTTGTCCCTAGTTAGCACTGCTCCTCAGCCTTTCCAAAAGACAGACGCTGGTATTGTTGTTCAGCTTTTCCCAACCGTGAGAATCAGCAGCTTCCTTCTTCACGTGCTGCTGTAGCTCCATTTGTCTCAAGAGCATACTCTCCCTGAGAGAGTGCTGTTTATTAACAACCTCAAAATGGACCTTATTTTAAAGCCATTTTGTTCTTCCTCCAGATCCAAAATGTCCAGGGGATGTGGATCTCCAAAGCGGTGATTGGGACATCAAGACGATTACGAGCTCACTGAAGTTTTATCTCAGGTATCACTGCAGGTCACATCTGTCCCGAGAGGGCAAAGAAGCTTGGGGCTGATCCAGCCAAAAAGTGGAGTGAACTGCCAGATGTTAACATCTGGCTGTTGAAAAGGGCAAAGAAGTGACAAAGTCTTTGGGAAGAGAAATGGATTTTTTAATTTTGTCTTATTTTTTGAGAAATATGCTTCTTGTAGAAACCCTGCATCCCCTGCGGAAAGCTGTTTAAATAATACCGTCTAGAGGGGAGATGCCAGCGGGAACCGGTGGTACTGGAGGGCAAGCAGATTTGCCCGTTGGTCCTTCGAGATCAGTTGTGAGTGGGTCACGGTGCCCTGCCAGAGCTCAGTTTTCTTTCTGGTTATTGCAGGAACCTGTCTGAGCCCGTCATGACCTACAAGCTCCACAAAGAGTTGGTCCTGGCTGCCAGTAAGTCCCACTGCTGCCCTGCCGACGGTCCCTAGCCCTTCCCTCCCCAGCCAGTGCACATCAAAATCACTTGACAGAGCTCTGCCAGCCCAAAACCAGGGTGTCCAGCCACTTCCCCCTGTAGAAAGAGGAGTGACCCTCTCTTTTGAGTGCTTAATTGTTCAAGGGAGGTGGTGGTATTTCTTCCCTTCTTTCCTTTGCTGTTGCAGTGCTCTTCCTTCTAACAGTTTCATGCTCTTGGAGGGTCTGGAGAGCCAGGGGATGTCAACTAACCTGAAGTCAGCACAACTGTCCCAGAAAAATTGTTTCTCAATAGTATCAATGTTTTTATTTTAAAACCTTTGAGGGAACGGGATGTGCTGTTGCCACACAGATAGATAGGTGCTTCCTTTAGGTAGTGAAATTTGTCCTGGGATGTTGAATCCCAAGTGTCTGTCAGTACGTGAAGGACATTTTTCTGCTGCCGTTCTTGGGACTGAGCCACAGCCAGTATTAATGGAAATTAGCCAAGTAACATGGGTGTACTGACAGGGCATGGCCTGTGCTAAACCAGCCAGTCCTCGACTGTCCTGTTCTTATGGCCATTTCAAATAAGCCATAATTATTCTAAACTGGCTTCATCCTCAGAGCGTGCTGAGAGCAAGCGTGCTGAGATGGAGACTAGAGGGAGTTGGTCATCTCCTTCAGTGTGAGAGTACTGGCATTTGGAAATTTATGGCACACTCAGAAACATTTTGGCTTAAAGCATCCTTTCCATCACCATGCCTCCTTGAAGTCAACAGGGGGGTAGGAAAGTGCCCGGCTCTCCTCAGTTTGGACCTCTAGAGAATTAATAACACTTGTTCTTACTTGGCAAGGAAAATTTTCCACCACCTACTGATCATGCTCAAACCCAAGATTTATTAGTTTCAGAACTGGTTAAACCAATGATGGCTGGGTATGTGCAAAACCACAATCCCTTCCCTACCCTCCCTCAGAAACTTGCACCATTAAGCTTCCCAGCTACCAAGATGCCACACTATTCTTTTCACGCCGAGTATTTTATTGTTTCTTGATTATTTATGCTTCTGAGGGTGACCTCTGTGGGTCAGGGACTCCCATTTTTTTCCCTGCAGGACATTTTACCTCGTTGTTCACTGTTACAGCTGTCTGGGCTGATCAGATACCCGGCAGAGAGGCCGTGTGTTCCCCAGGTGTGCTGGTGTGCGGGGCGAGGGTGCGCAGGGGAGTACCCTGCCGTACCCAGCCTGTTTCCCCAGCTGTGCTCAGAGGCAGAGCGCAACCCTGAGCTCCCTGTCAAGCTTCATTTCTCCCTCTTTCCACTTCATTTTGTTTCTCACAATGATTACCCGGTTGCTATGTAATCTCACTTTCCTCCTGCTTCCCATTGCCGGGTTTGGCCAGCCAACCCTATGTTGCAGAAGGAGCACATATTCTTTGGCTTTATCTTTCTCTTATGTATTTACTTTGAAAGTGGTGGGCATTGTGGTATTTCTTTCCAGAATCTGAGAACCTGGATTACAGGCTGGGAGCCATTCACGCTCTGGTCTATAAACTACCTGACAAGAACAGAGAAATGTTAGAGCTCCTCATACAACACCTTGTCAAGTAAGCAGACATTTTTCTCTAAAGCCAAAGTAAGAGGAATAATGGAATTAGCCGAACAAGTCTTTTTTTGTGGCAGGTTTGCAAAATTGTATCCACCACAGTCCCCCTAGGAATTTACGTTTGGACTGCACAAATGGTATGATTATCCTTGCTACCCACTGCATTAAGTGATGCTTCTCTTTCTAATTGCCACTTTCATCCCCTTTCTTACAAGCAGGAAATAATTGTAAAATGAAAATACCCGCTGACAGCAGAGTTGTAAATTGTCACCTCTCACTCCAGTTAACAAGAATGTTATGTCTGGGGTTTGGCTGTAGGACCTGTGCCCATGGGCTGAATGTGAAGCATGCTTTGGCTTTATCTCCAGCTCTATGGTTTCAATGTCCTGAGCCCTTAGAGCAGCACGAAGGCTTGAGCTTGTCAGTCTCTGCTCTCGTACAGGCATGTTGGATGCTTGGTGGCACTGAGCAGCACTGCTTCCACATGCTTCTGCCACTGAAAAAGTCTGTTACTTGATGGTAATGGCACCAGCATTGGGAAATGGGTATTTTCCTGCCTCCTTGTCACATCAAATGCAAAGGCTCAGTGTGGAAGCTCTGCCCTCTCCACCCCAGGGAGGAGCAGGAGTGCAGCAGGGAGAGAGGCTTATGATGAGCCATGCTGAAGCTCAAAAGCAAGGGAGCAACCTGTTTGTGGGTTAGGAACGACCAAGGCTTGCAGAAGGAATGGCTTTTGTATGACAGAAGACATTTTCAAAACTGGGCTGTTTCAGAAATAAGCAGGGCTGGTCTGAGAGCGTCACACTCTAACACTCGAAGGTGCGTGCTTGGCCTTTGGTGCCATGCCCCTCTTTGGGGCGAGAAGGGCTGCTTGGGGGATCCTGCGTACCATCCGCTTCCAGCCTTCCATGCACATGTTTGTGTGGTTTTGAGAAACCTTTCTGCAGAAGTGGCAGAGCTGAGTGTGTTTGGTGTGCAGTCCAATTAAGCTAACGCCGTACTTGTGGTCATTCTGTTTATTCCTTAGTGTTTACGCTTAAATTCTGTTCCCTCTCCCCTTCATGCTGACAGAAACCTCTTTAACACCAGAGCTACAGGGCAAACCCAGAATTCATTACATGTCAGCATCAGAGTCTCTCTCCTCTGGTCCACTTCTGGCAATGGGTAGTGCCCACCTAGGTGGTTAATACTTCAGTCATCAACTGGTGCTGCTCCGCAGGCTTGCGTGTTCCTCCAGAGTTTGAAGGCTGCTGCTTGAAGTGAGCCCTGTTCTGTGAAAACGGTGGTTCTTTCTGAAGGAAGATGCTGTGTAGAGATTTATTGAAACCCTCCAGTGTGCTCCCTACATTCAGTCCTCCTCCTTCAGAGAGAGGAAAAATTAAAGCCAAAAGTCAGTGCTAGAGAAATAGGATATTTCAATGTAAATGATTCCTTTTGTGTATGTGTTGCGCAGATGACTTTTGATTGCAGAGTTAAAAGAGGAGCTAGGAGTGGGAAGGGATCAAACAAAAATGCTGTCAGCATGTTGCTCTCCCAGACAGTTGTCCTAGCCAAACGTGCATGTCATAGCGAGAGACATGCTTTATCTCTGGTAGCATTGGGAAACAAATTCTGCTGAAACAAAATGAAGAAAATTGAATGACTGATTCTTACTGCGTCCTTTTTTATTGCTTGGAATAAGATCCGTTTGAAAAAAAAATAACACCAAACCGAACCAAACCCTATTCCTTCTTTCCTTCCTCTCTGCAGCATATGCGAGCACAGCCGAGAGAATCTGATGTCACCGTCTAACATGGGGGTGATATTTGGACCTACGCTCATGCGAGCACAGGAGGACACTGTGGCAGCGATGATGAACATCAAGTTCCAAAACATAGTAGTCGAGATCCTCATCGAGCACTTTGGGAAGGTACAGGTGGCAGCCCCAGGAGCACCTCCACGCAGCTTCTGGCTGCTCCATCATGTTCGTGCAAACTGTTGCTGTGGCAACAACGTAGAGCTCTGACTCCTTTTTCTGGAGTCTCCCTAGGGGCTGGGATTTTTTTATATAATATACTGTTCTGAAATGCCTCAGAAGGAAACAAAAAGTGTAGCAGATTTGTTCCTCACTGCTGCCTTGAGCTAGTTCCAAAGGAAACCGTGAGTCAAGGGATTTTTGATTTCTTTTTAAATAAGAGGAATCTTTTTGGAAAAAAAAAACCAAAACACCACCATTATTTTATGCCTGGACATTACAGGACTTTACGCTTTCCTTTGCTGAAGGCAGAAGCTAGACCAGAGCATAACTGATTTCAATGGGCACAGTCCAAGATGAGACACTATACAACTTTTAATACAGGGAAAAAACCCAAAGCAGACAAATATTGGAGGGTCGATGAAAATAATTCAGCTGTCCATATGATTTGTTTAGATCCAGGTTAGGGATGGCGTGGGCAGGTCTGGGGAGGGGAGCCGCTGCCTGGAGTGGAGGTGTCAGAGCAGACTCTGGCAAGCGGCCGGTGCCTGTTGTGTTGGGGCAGTGCTCTGCACGGGGCAGTGCGCCCTAGCGAGGTTCCAGCAGCATTTCCCTTTCATGGGACCTTGCTGAATATTTTTTGTCTGAAAGCATGACCTAAATGCACAGTCTGGATTAGTCTGCTGTGGTGGGTGCTGAAGGTTCACACGTAGAGAACAGCCTTTTGTCAAGTGGCAATTTGTCTCCTGATGGAAAGCAGAATATTCCAGTGTCTTCTGTATTAGCACTTTCTCCGCGTGATATCTGATATAATGGCTTGCGGTTTTCAGGGTGGCTGGAGGATGATAGAGCTGTATGTTAACACTTAAAAACTTGAGCAGCATTTGCGTTCAGATCAGCATACCAAGGACCAGATTGCTTTCCTAGTAACAGCGCTCGGTTCAAAGGAGGGAGTTTGGTCCTTCAGCTTTTCATAATACTTTACATCACAGAGTGTCCAAACAATCTCTGATGTCTTAGAGGTAGGGAAGGTTTGAAGCCATCCTTTAAAGGATGTTGTTTGTTGTGAGGAAGATGGGGTAGCACTCCCAGCACACAGAACAGCACGTATGCAGAAGTGAAGCTCTGTTTTGGGGAAAGGAAGAGGAGGCCGAAGCTGAAAGACCAAGATTCTTGCAAAAGTGGATGTGGAGTGAGAGCAACCAAACGGGGACCAGATGAGTGGCGTGGGAGCCAGTTATGGTGCCAAGGACTGGAACCAGAGAAACGAGATGAAAGAGCTCAGAGAGACTTTTGAGTATCCACACAAGAAGCTCATGAAAATCACATGCCAGTTGCTTTGTAGGTCTCTACGAAAGCTTTTAATAAGTTCCCACAGCAAAACAGTGAATCGTTTGTGCGTTGGGATCCTCACACAACTTGCTCTGGAAGTGAGCCTCTCTCCTCCCCTCCTGTAGAGCCTATGGTGCAGACTGAGTCAACACACAATTTACACTGCCACCTCTAAGAGCTGGAATTACATCTTTAATTAAGGCAGACATCTCTTTGCTTGCTTTTCATTTCTTCAGCAATAAGGTTAAGTTAGTAACATTTATTAGATTGAGCTTGTAAGTTCAGCGTCAGTGCTGAAAGTGTCTTCAGCTCACACATGAGCAAACATTCTAAATGAGTCTGGAGGAAGAGAGACCTATGGTTTATATAGTGCAATATGAAGATTCTAAGGACAAAGTAACTATTCATGAAGACTTTGTGGATAATTACTGTTTCCACAGCTTATATTTCAGTGCCATGGTTAAATTAAATAAGTTGATTGCTCTGGAAACACCTTCTTCACTGTACAAACCTTCTAAATATGAGGGTCTGTCAATATCTTTGTACCTTCAAGTTGTTTAACTTGGATTTTCATTTAGAAGGCAGAAGCCAAGCAGAGGCTGCACCACAGCTTAAAAAGAGTAGTTTACAGTGCGTTTTAGCAATGGGTTTCAGATGTTGAAAAATACCTCATGAAAACAGCATTTTGTGGTACCTGTATAAGCATCCATGGGGAACTTAACATTTTTTTCTTTAAAAAAACAGTATTGAACACTTGTCAATATATAGGAGTGAGGTTGATGTTTCCAAAAAATTGCCCTGCTACAGGTAAACCTTTGCTATTTTAACTATACATGAGCTGCTGCTTTTAAATCAAGAGCTGTTAATGGCACAGCAAATTCCTCTGAATCCGGGTAGGGGGAATGCACTGGACTTCGTATTTCGGAGTGGAGAAAATATACTGCCCCTGCAAAAGGGCAGAGCCCCTGTTGGCATTAAGCATCAGCAGCCACGCCATGTCACCGAACGGGGAAAGAAAAGCAGCTGAAGTGACCAGATCGGGGTCTTTGCCCTAAATACCCCAAGAGAGCCGCACGGGCAGCTGCAGAGCGTGTTCTCATCCCTTCATGCAGAGTGGGGCAGAGTATGTCAGGAGCAAAGCCGGAGATCTTTGGGATCAAGAAGGTTAAAGTTGGGGGGTGTTTTTCTCTCTCATCCCCCATCTTGATTTCCCAGTCCTGCTCTTTGGCTGGGAGAAGAAAGAACATATGTATGGTTTAAATTACAAAAATGGCGCACTTAATCAAATCAGAATGTTAATTTCTTCATTTAAAAAATTTTCTGGGTGACACGATAAAATTGTTCTTCCATAACAAAGCTTGCACCGAGGGACTGGTGACCCTGCTCGTTGGTGGGTCTGGCACCGGCTGCCTTCCTCTGGGCTTGAGCTGTCTCCTGCCAACAGCTGGCAAGGGACCAGCTCCACGTTCTCCCAGGACGGGCAGCGCAGCCTCGGGTCTCGGCAGCCCATGCCGCTCCGTCCACAGTAAAGCATGATATAAATTCAATTCATATCCATGGGAAAAACACAAAAGCAGTTGGTTTTGGTCCTTAATATGGTGTTTCAGATCGTCAGGAGGCTGCCCAGAAGCTTAATTATTTTCAGCACTCAAAAAAAAAGCATTGACATAAATAAGAACCTCTAAATTAAACCAAACCAAATAGGTGCCATATGACCAGTGAGAAAAGGAGATAAAACTCTTTAGCAGCATTGTTTTTATGCCAATATTTCATCCAAGATAATTTCAGTGCCACACCCTTCATTGTAAACCAAGAGCTGGAGGGGTTTTTAGCGTTAAATCTAGAACAATGTGGTAGTTTGTTCGGGTGCTTTCTGTCGATTGTATCACCTCGCTGGTGTGGAAAACTTGATATTTCTCAGAAACTGTCAGCTTCAAAGCTTCCTTCATCTGCTCCAGGATAATTTGCTTCTACACATTATGTCTGTATTTGTGATTTTGCTGCGTTAATTAGTTTAGCACTGCGGTTGCTGCAGTAGGTGTGCAAGGTGTGGAGCAGACAGCCTGTCTGTAGGAGAGCTCATGGCAGGACGCGGTTGTAGAACCAAAACTAAAGCATCAGCCCAGCTCCAGCCCCTCTCTAGCCCTGGCAGCCGGGGCTTTCCTGAGTGCTGCCGACCCTTCAGAGCGGCTGGTGGGCACCGTGCTGTCCCTCTCCGGAGAGGCTGGAGGAGCTGGGGGTTGCAGGGCTGCAAGGGCCCTGCCAGGCTCTCATGAGCTGCGGCTGGTCGGGGTATTTTGGGGCAGCCCTGGCTTTTCCAACCCTTCTGGGTCAGTCAGAGGTGTCTCGGGCCACGGATGGCTTCTGTGCCTGCTGGAGAGCAGAGAGGAGCAGGGCAGCCCTTGGAAAAGGCAGCGGGTGGCCACTTGCCGTGCAGGAGCTGGGTCTGCGCTCCTGGTGTGGCTCAACCTCCTAACGCCACACTCTGCTGCGAGGTGAGGTGCCTTTTAATGACACGAGGTTTACGAGGCGAGCCTCTGAGGGTGTTGTTCAACCTGGTGGGATGGGAGGGTCATCTAAACATGTCTGCCTTTACAGATCTACTCCGGCCCCCCAGAAGACACCACCGCCCCCCCGGTGCCTCCTCCCAGGGTGGCTGCCCGGCGGCACAAACCCATCACCATTTCCAAACGTCCTCTGAGGGAAAGACCTGTCTTCTTCGGTGCTTCTGTGGAAGAAACTGGAGGTCAGTCCAGCTGTTCACTGATGCCTTACCTGCTTCATACCTCTCCTGTTCCTTTTAACAGCTTTCCAGGAGCAATGGAGATAACAATAGCAGGATTGCATTTTCCAGGCCGTGAACACAGCAGGCAGTGAGTTCTGTTATTCGGTGGGAAAGGAGAGCAAAAAAATACTCACACATAAGTTGCATCATCTCACAACTCAAACTCCGAGGGGATTTCTTTTTTCTGTTACTTGCAGTTTAGCTAAACTAAGACTGGTTCTTGCATATGAGAAGCCCAGTGGAAAGGTTTTGCAGCTTCAGAGGCAAAAATACAAAGTGATGGAAATAAAACTGAGGAGCAGAGTTGGTGGGATGGGAGCGCGTGTGCCTGGGCTGGGGTGGCTGCATGCTGCTGGAGGCTTGTCCTGCCAGAGCACATCAGTCCCAAGAGGGTCTGCAGGGCTGGCTCAGCCGCTGGCGATTTTACATCCAGAGCAAGAACATTGAAGCACTTTTTCAGGGCCCAGTGACAGTATTTTCTAGACCAAGTACAACTCTGCTGTTAAATTCATTTATTTGTAAGGAAATGTTAAGGCCCTTATTATCATGTCGAAGGGCACATCCATTTAAAATCATGTTTCTCTCTGCACCCAATTTGCTCTAATTCTCATTGCAAGCTGTGTCTTAGATCACATCATCACCAAAAGAGATGAGAAGTCTTTTTCTCTGTTACAGTTTTCAGAGCTTTGATGATATTTTAGGCTTAATACTACAAGTGTACTTTTTGGCACTGCTAAAACATGATTGATTCAAATTGCTCTTTAAAATCACAAGACTGCTTATGTAGTTTTAGATGGCCTTGCATTTAAATGTTTCTTTGAACCGGGAGCAGAAGCATTAGCGTTTGACTGCCCCAAGGCTGCAGGGTGCAATCAGTTTCATAGCAGTGCTTCTGCATCCTGTGCCTGGGTCTCGAGCACAGCAAGAGGGATGCGACAAATTATTTTTGGAGGGACACAAAAGCGTGGTACAAAACTTCTCATGAGCAAGAGCACTGGAAATTTAAAAGAAGCCCATAGGTATATTCTGTGATATTCAGCATTGTTTCAGTTTTCTTTATTCCTCAGAGTTTGCGTGAGCCACTCGCTCTTTGTGTTTTGCTCAGGGTGAGGGTCTGTCGATCCCCCACCGCATGCCACAAGCGTGCTTGTCCCTCGGTACCGCAGGAGCTGTGCAGCGCTGAGCAGAGTTCTGCGCTGCTGTGGGGCAGAGACTGCGATGCTGCCGCGGGGCAGAGACTGCGATGTCTCCATGCTGCATCCTAACCCGACGGCTGTCTGTCCCCTTGGCTCTGCAGCAGACCGGCACGGCCAGACCCCCAACGGCAGCAGCGGCGTCGGCG